GATCACGTCCACACCACCAGCGGTGTATCCCCATAAAAGAGGAGGCAAGAAAACCCGTGCTGAGAGGCTTGACCCGTCTCCCAGCTCCACAGACAGCCAAAGCAGCCCAGACCGTAGCGTCAAGACAACCAGCCCCGTCCGAAGCTACAGGCACAGTCTGAGTGGCAAGGACCCCCGGGCCTTGGATGGGACGGCCATCCAGAGTCTTTGCCAAAGGCACCGACCCAGGGTACCGGGTCACCACAACGGGCATGAATGTGCTAAATCAAGGTATACATGGGACATGGCAGAATTCCTTGGATATCAGGAGCTATAATCCTGAATCCATCAGCCACGCCAGCCTTTTCTGTCTACGTGTCTTTGCCATCCCACTAAGGAGCTTGGCAACAGAGGAAATGCGGTCATTCTTGTTGATAAGAACTGTGTTATTCCACTTTTCAGGTCTGAAGGCAGTGACAAGCAACGCTCTTCAGAGAAGATCCCCAGCTGCTGTAGCTTGAAGCCGTTCAAGACTGAACCCGAGGACTGAGTCCCCAGGACTACAGACATCTTACATCACTGAGAGGCAGAAGCTCAATGTATCAGAATCAGACAAATGACAGGAAGAGGGGCAGGTTTCCTGTTAGCTGGGGCCCTTAACTACCGAATGAATACTTTAATGGTGACGGTAAGAATGATGCTAAACTCAGAAGACAAGTACACTATCTGTGTATTCTTTTTGTTAAATACTTCTTATTGATGTCTTTTGCTTTTCCATCACCAAAATTCTTCCTAGAATCCCTCCCCCTCTCTCTCTCCCAAGGAGCCATCCCATATAATATTTGTGTGTGTGTGTGTGTGTGTGAAAATGTTATGAGACAAGTGGTATTTATTTTTTATCTTCCTTCATTTGAATACCTGCCGTATTTATACTTTTGCTATTGAGACATGTTAGTTTGGATAAAAGGACTAGTCCTTTGTTGTTGTCATTCAGGAGCTCTGTCACGTCCAGCTCGTGGTGACCCATGGACCACAGCACGCCACGCCCTTCTACCCTCCACTATCACCCAGAGTCTATCCAAGGCCATGTTCACTGTTGCCAAGACACTATCTACCCATTTCATCCTCTGCCCTTCCCTGTGCCTTTGCCTTCAGGCTTTCCCAACATCAGGGTCTTTTCCAACGAGTCTAGTCTTCTCATTATGTGGCCAAAGCATTTAAGCTTCAGCTTCAGTATTTGACCTTCCATATAATAATTTTTAAGGAAAAAGAGGAAAAAAAATTAACAAAACCAATCCAGACATCGAAAAAAAGCTGAAAATACGTGCAGGGTTCCACCCCTGCCGACTTCGGACCTCTGCAAAGGACAGGCCAAGGGTGGCTTCTCCCAGCTCTCCCTTGTTTGGGGCCAGGCTTGCGCTTTGTAATTTCACAACATTCACTGTTAATTGTCCTTTGCTCATTCTTTCCACTTACATGGTCATAGTTATTGCATAGACTGCTTCATTCTGTATCAGACCACAAAAGTCTTGTCCTCTGGGTATTCTTAAGTGACTAAAAAGGCCAACTGAGGACAAGCAGCTCTGGCCATCATCTGGACGTGTCCACATACGGGGTTCATTCACTCATTTACTTGCTGAATAAAGATGCGTCGAGCACCCACCCGGCACAGAACCCTGGGCTGGCTGGCACTGGGCTGGCACAAGTTCTACACAGATGTGGTTCTTGTCCTCAGGAAGTGTCACCCTTCTCTTGTCTTTATTATGACCATCCTTTTCTCCCCATAACACAGCATTTCCATGAGCCACCATGGGAAATAATTCTGAGCTGCCGCCATCCCCCACCCCACATGATCTCCTCCCATACTTCTGTTTCTGGTTTGTTTTTCACCAAACCACTGGATACTGTGGCTCAAATGCACTCAGCATCTTCAGCAGAAGCGTCTGCTCCCAAAACAGATGCTTTTAGTAAGCGCCACTGAAGAAGAGTCTTGCCCTGAGTCTGTATCTTAGGCTGAAAGTAAATGCTGCTCACAAACCTGAATTAAGCCCAATGCCCTGGGAAACTACCTCCAACAGGCCTGGGCAGCTTCAGGTCACATTTAAATTGTTGCAATATCACCAGCACTAACATTGTTGGAATCGATATTGAGCTTACCTACTTTGCAATAAATGAGATCGATTTTCCTGGAGGATATAAATGATTAGTATGGAGTCCAAAGGGCAATGGGGGGGAAGTCAGACAAAGGCCCAGCAGCCCTGTGAATTGCAGCGTTAACTTCTGCCGCCTTTTATCTCCCTAATTGCGCCCTCAGGGATCCCACTGAAAAGGAAAGAAAGTTAAACCTGTGGGGAGCAGCTGAGGATGAATCAACCTCAGCATCTTCTCCAATTGGTGCCTGCTTTTCTACCTCCAATATAATAATTTCAGTAAGTCTGTGGTTAGCTTGATCTAAAAAGCCTTCACTCCAATTTATGTCCCACTGGGTCAAGGGAGGAGCACCACTCACAGCCATTTAATACCGATCAACCAGGAAGCATTTATCAAGTGCCTACTGTTTGCTAGGCCCTGGGGATAAAAAGACAAACATGGGCCAGTCCCCAGCCTCAAGAAGCTTACATTTTAAAGGAGAAACAACACGCACATGAATCTAGTTTTCTGATACAATTGTTGAGATTCCCTTTTGTTCTGAAAATGATCCCTTATGGACCACCGGAGCCACCGTAAGTCACAGTCTCCTCCAGAAGGTATCCCTGGGTTCCCAAAGGACATACCAGCAAAGCGTGAGCCACAGAGGCTTCAAGGGAGAGCCCAGGCACAGACTGACTGCACATCTGGCATCCAAGGGGGGCCTGGCTAGACTCAGAGGCCTATCCCCAGAAGATTAGGCACAGTGGGAGAGTTCTACCCCAGCAACTCAAGAGGACCACCTAAGGCGTGGAGCCCCTGGAGCCCTGGAGAAAACAACCACACCACTACAACCACAGACCTTCCCAAGGATTTCACTAGCTACCAAGATACATGCAATGCAGTGTGGTGCTTCATTCATGGAGAGTGGGCCAGACTGGACTCAGAAGGCCTGGGTTCAAGTGACTCCTCAACCACATACTGGCTGTAGCAGAGCCCAGGCGAGTGCTTTGACTTCTCAGTGTCACAGGGCAGCTAAGTGTACATCAAAGAAAAGTCACCTATCTACACAGGGATCTGGGATTTCCCCACTAAGAATTCCTTAAACAGATGAAACCACAGATTCTAAAGGAATTAGGATCCAGAGAAAGAACTACAGAGTTTGAATGCAAATCGAAGCATACTATTTGCTCTTTTTTTTTCCTTCTGCTTTGTTTTGCTTCCTCTTTCTTGTGGTTCTTCCTATTGGTTCTAATTCTTCCTTACAACATCACTAATGTGAAAATATATTTAATAGGAATGTATATGTATAGCCTATATCAGACTGCACGCCATCTTGGGAAGGGAAGTGGGGAGGAGACGGGAGGAGGGGAGGGAGGGGGAGAAAAATTTAAAACGCAAAAGCGTATGGAAGTGATTATTGAAAACTAAAAATAAATTAATAAAAAAAAGAAAAAAATAAAGGAATTAAGGGAGTGATTTTGTTCAGTCTTTTTTCAGTCGTGTCTGACTCTTTGTGAACTCATTTGGGGTTTTCTTGGCAGAGATACTGGAGCAGTTTGCCATTTCCTTCTCCAGTTCATTTGACAGATGAGGAAACTGAGGCAAACTGGGTGAAGCGACTCACCCAGAGTCACACAGTCAGTAAGTGTCCGAGGCCAGATTTGAACTCAGGAAGATGAGATTCCCTGACTCCAAGGCCAGCGCTCTGTCTACTTTGCCACCCAACTGCCCTTAGGGGCATGGAGGTGGAACCAATTGTAAACAAGGAGACTGTATTCAAAAAAGCAGAACTGGACCTAATGACTTCTCAAGTCCCTCGGCCTCTCCATCGAGCCTCCTAGGATTCTCAATGCAACTTAATAAGCAAACGTATCTGTTTTGAACACACATAGAAACAGCGGCAGAATCCGACGCCTGCAATGGGCAAAAGAAAAAGGGAGGGCGTGGAAGAGTGTGAGGATTCAGTCCATTCGTGACTAAGTGAGAACAACGGCGACTCAAAACAATTTCAGTGCTGGTAATGATGCAATCATTCAAACTTGGCTTGAAGAGGCTGGCACTGCACACGGCTAGTTTTAGAGGACGCTACACTGAACTTCAGTTTCAAAGGCTGGCATCTAGTGAGTGCACAGAAATACTTGGAGAAAGGCAAAAGGAAGGATGAGGATCAAAAGACGCTGAGGGGGCAGCTAGGTGGCGCAGTGGATAGAGCTCCAGCCTTGGAGTCAGGAGGACCCGAGTTCAAATCCGACCTCAGACACTTGACACTAGCTGTGTGACCCTGGGCACCCTAATTGCTTCACAAAAAAAAAAAAGACACTAAACTCCACCTCCAACGATCACTTTAAAACATTCTCCTGAGAACGACTGAGCTGCATTTCTTAAATGGATCATCTTCAAGGTTCACTTGAATTCATTCACCCTTTCAAAATAAATTTCAGCACTGAAATATCCTACCCTTGAAATCTATGACAGAAAAATTTAAGTAAGAAAGAGATTACTCTTAATTTCACTTCATAAGTGAGCCAAGACTTAAAGGGACAACACCAGGAGTCACCTAATAAGAAGCCGGAGATGAACTGAGGGCATCTTCTGTCCCAAAATGTGCATCATACTCACTAGGGCAGAGGAGCAGACGAGGCCAGCGGGAACTTTGCTGGTCTACACAACCAGCCCAGGGCCAAAGCCTGGGCACAAGAGGGGGACAGTGGGGGGCGTGCTCACTGGCATTCTACATTGGTCGCTCATTCTCCTGTAGCCGCTGAACCAACTCAAGACAGAGGAGTAAATAAAAACCTGCTTCCTCCTCCCGCTCCTTTCATGGAGGCAGGTCCTAAGTGAGCCAACTTCAAAAAGAATGCCATCTACCAACAATCCGCTGAGATTTTCACCTTGTTTGGAAAGGGCTTCTCGGAGTGCTGGAGTGATCATCTCTCGCTTTTCCCGGGCACCCCGGGACAAATCCAGTTGTATGTCCTGCTGCTCCTTTTCTTTCTAAATTAAAAAAAAAACAAAAAAACAAAAAGGAAGTTCAGTATTTTCCCCAGCATCACAATGAAAGATGAAAGTCCATCCCTGACCCCGAGCTACCCATCTGTCTCCTCTCTAGGGTTATCCCCTTTCCAGAAACACCAGATCAGAAGAACTACCAAGCTCATTTTTCAAGCTCATTTCTCCTCAGCCTAGCATCCAAGGTCCTCCACCATCAGCATTCACCCTACCTTTTCCTCTCTCTCCCAGTCTCTATACTCTAGGGCTAAACATTTCCAACACTTTCCCACCTCCACTCCTGGGCCTTTCCCATTTCTTGGGCCTAAAATGCCCACCATTTATCTTCCACCTGTCGATATTCAAAGCCCAGCTTAAATGTTACCTCCTCTAGGCAGCTTTTTCTCCACACTTCACCCAATTTAAAAAGATGGCTCCTTCCTTTATCCTCATCTCCTTATCCTAATCTCATAATTGAATGAACGCCGAGTCTGGGGCACTGTGGCGGTTCTCTCTGCCTCTAGATGCCAAATGTATTTATCTTTGTGGGACAGCTTCAACCAGAGAGTCCACAAGCCCGTTCTAGACGAATTAAGCGCCGGTATTACAAAGAAATGCCGAACCACGGCTGCCCGGAAGGAGCTCACAGCGGACTGAGAGACAACATGCAAAGAACTACATACAAACAAGCTGCGGCTGGGATCAATTCAAGATGGTCAGTAGAGGGAAGGCACCGAGATTTTAAGGAGGCTGGGAAAAGCTTCTTGTAGAAGGTGGGAGTTTAGATGGGACTCGAAGGAAGCCAGGTGAGGGAGATGAGGGAGAGAAGATATCACAAAGGCAGAAAGAACACAACTTAACAGCTGATTGGATGGGGGGTGAGTGAGGGGCAGGGATAGCGGATGACACCCAGGGCGTGAGCCTGGGGGACTGGGAGGATGGGGGTGCCCTGGACAGTCATAGAGAAGTTAAGAAGACAGGAAAAGATAATGAGTTGGGTTCAGAACACACCAAGTTTAAGAAGTCTCTGGGGGAAGGGAAGGGCTGTGATCCTGTGAGGTAGGTGCTGTTATCACCCCCAACTTACAGCTGAGGAAACTGATTCCGCCATCTCCCATTCCATGCATTCACCCAGGTTGTGTCTCCTCCTCTCCCCAAACCCCAGGCCTGGAACAAACATCTTTCTCCCACTTCTCTTCCTGTTGAAAACCTTTCTCTCCCAGGTCCTACTCAGGAACCACCTCCACATTGCCTCCCCTTATCCCACTACCTGAACAAGAGACTTCTCTCTTCCTCAAATGTCATTGCAGCATTCTTTGAGGATTTCTCATAGGATTTGGAGCTAGAGGAAACCTTTGAAATCATCTAGCCTAACCTCCTCACTTTACAGATGAGGAAACTGAGGCCCAGAGCAGTGAGGTGTCTACCCTCGAGATGACACAGGTAGCAAGCAGTAGAGCTGGAGCTGAAAGACAGGTCCTGAGAATCCACACGCAGGGTTCTTGCCACTTCATTCAGAGAACCACAGAATCAGGGAGTTGGAGGCACCTCGGGAAGGCAATATCTGTGCCTTTGCCCCTGCCACATCATACCTTGTCTACATGTCCTGTCCCTGTTTGTCCACTGTGAGCTCCCCTGGGGCAAGTACTGTATACTTGTACCTCCAGGAGCTAGCCAAGTACCTCCACATTGGAGGTGTTTAATAAACATTTGCTGAATAACATTATCATCATGAATAATTAACAACTGTCATTAACAAATAGTTAATAAAAAACTGGCATTCATATTGTGCTTCAAAGTTTACGAAGTGCTTTACAAATATCTCATTTTATCTTCACAACAATGGGGGAGGGCATGTAGATGCTACTATTTTCTCCTTTTTACAGATGAAGAAACTGAGGCGGAGGTTGTCTGAGACCAGATTTAAATTCAGGTCTTTCTGACTCCAGACCCCAGGGCTCTGTGCACTGCGCCATCAGCTGCTTAAATGAAAAGTGCTCATCTTCTGAAGAGTGCCATTTCTACATGCAACTTCAGTGATCAATTAAGTCATGATACTGGCTCTCTTTAAAAGTCTGCTAGAGAATCTGGAGCCCAAAGGCATGAAGGCCTATCCTCCGGTGCTGACAAGCACACTTTGGAAAGACCAATCATTTGTTTTCTCATAAAAGGTCTTTAGGGATAGCCATGGTGCCTGAGTGACACCTTCATCCCTGTTCTCTCTCATTTGATCCTCACACCATCCTAGGAAATGACCAATAAAAGGTCACGGGGCCAGGAAGGCAGTCTTGAAGCCTCAAGATGGGCAGAGTCGAGGCTGGAAGAGGCTGGAGAGACAGGGTGCTGAGGCCCTCCTGCCCTCCTGCCTTCCTACCCAGCTGTGGGCTGGATCAACACTCTGGGAAGTAAGTTGGAATTATGCTAAGAAAGTGACTCAGGGGTCCATGCCCTCTGCCCCAGCAATCTCACTACAAGGTATATACCCCAAGTGGTACAAGGCAAAGAATACTGATTTTGGCATGGGGGATCTGGATGCCAGGCCTGCCTCTGGCATTTATTGCCTATTTGACCCGGGGGGAATCACTTCACCTCTGGGCCTTCCGTTTCCTGAAATACAAAATGAAGGTGTCGGTCTAGATGAATTCACTGTACTAAGTGCCAAGAAAATAAAAACCAAGCAAAACAACACCTACAGGAGAGTTAGAGGGGAGGTGTGGAGGGGAGTCTGGAGGTCACAACCACACCACCACACCACCACACCACCACACCACGTGTGGGTTGGGGAAGACAGAAAAGCTCATGATGGGCCTGTACTGTGATAGAAAGAAGTCTCCCAGGCACTAAACCACCTGCAGCCACAAGACAGATGCCCATTGATCAGGGGTTGGGCAGACACCAGGCAGCTCGTGAACACCACAAAACACTGCTCTGCGTAAGAGGTGACACCTACGAAGACTTCAGAGAAGCCCAAGAAGATTGACGTGAGCTAACGTGTGATGAAGTAAGCAGGACCAGGACAACGTGTGGTCAGCGACTTATAGTTACAACAGAACTAGAACAACAAAGGAATCCAGCTGGGACACAGAGTCAGGGGCCTACGGATGGGACTTCACATCTAACGTTGGATCTGCCAATGTGTGGTTAGGTTTTTGTGGCTTTTTACCCCCATCATCCTGCATATTTACTATAAGGGTTGACATTCTGGGAAGAGACTGGAAGAGAGAAATATACCAGTAAAAGTGCTCGGTAAAAACCAGAAGACGCCATTGGGAAAAAAATATTTTTAATAAAAATATATAAATAAGGAAATGAAAGTTGTCAAGCTCAGGTTGAGACGCAAGACCAAATCCAGAGAGGAACACCCTGCATCCCATTCTTCTGCAAAAGCTTCAACAGTTCGCGCTGGCCAAGAGAAGAAAGAATGAAATTCCGAGCTAACTTCCTGCCCGTCTTCTAGTCATTCTTCCGAGTGACTCCCCAGGAAAGAGAGGAAGAGAAAATACACAGGAAAGTGGAGAGACAGGGTTGTCAAATGAGTAGAGTAGCCTCACACTCTCAAGTCCTATTTGCAATAAAAGTTGATGTTTCAAATTACTAAATATAGTTAAAATGCAAAGTTAATGAAGAATTTTGCTGCTGTTAATACGGTTTTTCACCACGCATTTCCAGATGGATTTGAAGAAACTTAGAAACAAAACATCAATCATTTGCTCTCATCTCCTCCACGGCGTTCAAGTGTTCGCTGGAAACCAAACAGCTCCATTTATCTGCAATTCTAATTTTTTCTAAAGCTTTGAGATTGTTTTTTTCATTTACAGATTTGAAGGCAAACGGCAGAGGCAGGAAGAGGAAGCCACATCATGAGCCAACCTTCACCTTGAGGTGACTTAGTCAGAGCCTTTGAAGTAGATCCTCCCCCTGTGTGGTAATGTTTTTCCACTACAAATCACGCACAAATTGACTAGAGGCATCACTACTTGCCTTTGAAAACCTTGGCCACCACCAAAAACAAAGGCCTCGAATTCACTTGCTTCTTCCAAAAGCAACATAAATCCCAGAGTCAAAGCCCGGCTGTGCCCCTGGTCCCTGGCCTCTGACCGCTATACCAAGCTCTACAAATGCCACAGGAAGATTTTCTTTTCTTTTCTTTTTTTAATGTTTCTGAATGCCTCATGGTGAAGTGAACAAACTTCTCAAGAGGGCCAGGAAACATTTTCTGGGCCAACTCATAGGATACATTATTGATTTCCCTTATAAAATATAAACATTGCTTCTCTTGATTTAAAAAAAGAAAGAAAGAAAAAGACATTTGAGGGAGAGGGTAAGCTGAGATGAGGCTGTGAGGGATCCCTGTTTCATTCTGGAGCAGTCAGTCCCACTCTGAGCACAAGGAGGAAACTTCTTCTACAAAAAACCATGGCTGGGGAAGCTAGGTGGCACGGCAGATAGAGCACCAGACATGGAGTCAGGAGGACCTGAGCTCAAATCCGGCCTCAGATACATAACACTTACTAGCTGTGTGACCCTGGGCAAGTCACTTAACCCCACTGCCTAGCCAAAAAAAAAAAAGAACCATGGCTTATGAATAAGGTGCCTCTCCTCCCCCCCCCAAAAAAAATGGAAGCCAAATGACAATGAAACATTTTAATGGCAGAAATTCAATAACCTTCACAAGGCCTGACCAAGATTTGACAAGTTGCCTTTCTTTTCTTTTCTTTTTTAAATTTAATAGATTTTTATTGATACCTTTTCACCTAGATTTCTCCCTATACCCCTTCCATTCCTCCCTTCCAAAGAATCATTTCTTATAACAAAGAATTTTTTAAGTAAAAAAGAAAAAACAAAAGAAGAGAGGGGGAAAAAATCAGCAAAATCAAGCAATTCATCAAAAAGCCGAAAATCAGGCATTGTCTGCACTGTTTTGCCAGGAGTGGCAGGGAGGGGGCACCTTCTTCTACTCTTCTCTGGGGCCACGCCTTTCTAACTCTTGAGCTACGTGGCCTTGG